TGTACATATGTATACTACCGTGATGCTGCTATTCGAACCTATACCACCAGTCTTCTAGCTCCCATTGTTATTTAAGTATATCCTCAAAAAAAAGTTCAAATCGTTTTTTAAAGAACCAAGAAACAATATGAGGATTTTTGATTAAGTTTTGATAATTCTGCCTTGATGTTTCTACCTCTTCATAATATTCACTTGACCTTATAAGCTTATGAAGCTCTGGCTAATGTAATTGACAGCACTAAATGTAAAAAATACTAATCCCTGTGGCCCTATTTTCTTGATCATATCTGTCAATTCACATCATTGTGCTGTCCAAAACTGTCTGGATCTGCGTAAACCCTCACCGAATTATATAATTCGATTGGATATGTAAGTATCACCTTCTGAGATCTTATCTTGAATATTTGCAACAGTGAGTTATTCATCATTCAAGTTTTGTCTAACGTATATACTTCCTTTTTGTAATGCTCTCCATCACAACTATGTGTTAAACGCAAAATATCATCAACAGTTGTGATACACAAATCTCATATCTTTATATCGAAGTAAATGTTTAAAATATTCTGCTAGTTTTATATCTTTAATCCGTTCTGTATAAAGATCTGCACTACTAGTCAGATACAATGTTGGAAATACTCATACGATATAACCTGGAGTCTGGAATTTGTTAACTGGCTTATTGTCAATTTTTGGCTATACTATAGGAGAATTACTTGATTGTAATCGATTAAGTGTACTATTAATTGCAGCATCTTCAGTATCAGCAGAAGAAAGAAAAGGTACAAAAGTTTGAGTAACTATGTCATCATCATTTGTATTGTCTAAATTAATGTTACTCTAAATCTGTGGAAGCTGGCTAGAAATATAATCGTCTTCTGGTAATGATTGAAGAATTTCGTTATCTATAATAATGTTGAAATAATATCGATTATTTTCTTTTAGCCAGTATAATACGTGGGTTACTTTAGAATATCGAACATGAAAGTCTCTAAATGATTCAGAATGATTTGCAGATTTGTGACGCACAATAAGCATATTTAGTGACGATGGATGCCAAGGAAGACATGTTGTAAATTCTTGTATGTCTTGAGGGAAGTTGATTATGTTGCCATGATATCCATATTGATCTTCATGAAGTCGATATACAGACATTACGGTAAAGACTTGAGATATCAACATTTCTTCAACTTCTGTTAGACTTTGAAGTTCTTCAGAAACTTCTCTCAGATCTATGTTGTTTTCTTCAGAAAACTTGTGTGGTATTTTTTTTTTAGCACTGCAACGGTGATAGCTTCCCATTACAAGTACGATATTAGGAAAGCTTTCATTATATACTGGGCAAAGTTTAAATCTAATATCATCCATTTTATTTTGAAATTTGTTCAAAAGTTCTTTTTCAAATTCACTCATATCAGCTGCTGAATGAGGACTAATATATACTATGGCTTTACTTTCTATTTGTTCGGGTCTTTGTTGCATTGTAATACAATCATCTTCATTTTCTTTTAACTTATTCTTGGTTATTTTTTTTATTGTTACTTGTCACTTTCATTCGCAGTTTTATGCAAGTTGTTCTCCACGCTTTTCCTGCTGATTTAGTAGCTCTTTTTGGTGTTTTTGTTCACGTTCTTGGGCGAGACACACTTCTCTTTGATCAGGTGTTTCATTTTCTCTAGCCTTGCATTTTCTAAGCTTATCCAAATTTTTAAATTCATTATTCATTTTTTAGGGTTGAAACATCTTGATAAGTTTAGTGTTAGAATATTTTTTTTTTTGGAACAAGTACACTAAAAATAACTGTTGAGATGTACTGTATTTATAACAATACAATTGGGTGAGATTTCAATTTTACACGTTGAATTTGACAAAATACATGCATATTTATAGTATACTAGTACTAATGAAGGAAACATGTCATCGGGTTTTTAACTTTATTTTTTTTTT